GGGGTTGCGTAATTCAGCCCATTAGCAATAGCATAGGAGTGATGTGACGTGAACGAGAGCCCAGAAATCTCCGGACACCCAGCACAGCGGCCCTGCGTGAGGTTTTAAACAAAGTGTTTTCAAAGCACTTTTCCTTACTCATTCAAAGTAGAGAAGGGATAATAAACTGTGATAATAATAGCCAACGCTTCGTTGAACATTACCCACCTGCACACACATCAACTTGTTTCATCTTTAAGACATTCCTCTAAGGTGGGTGCTGTTATTACAGGTGAGGAAACTGAGGCTTAGAGAGGTTAAATCCCTTCCCTGCATCATATGGCCCAGAGGAAAATATAGTTTTAAGGCTATAGATCACAGAACCTTGACCTTGAGCACATAGTTGTTTTTTTTTTCTTTTTTACTGAGGTACATTTTATACATAATCAAATACATAGATCTCAGTTAAGCCTTCAATTCAGTGAATTTTGGCAATCATATACACCTGTGTACCTGCCACCCACAGTAAGGCATCGGACATTTCTATCCTTCCAGAAAGTTCTTTCTTGCCCCCTTTCGGTGAATTCCTGAACCCCCACCCCAAGGCAACCATTGTTCTGATTTCTCCCACCACAGATTAGCATTGCCCATCCTAGAGCTTCATATAAATGGAATCGTAGGGTGTGTATTCTATGTTTGGCCTCTTGCGCTCAGGGGATTCGTCCGTGCTATGAGCTGCGTCCGTAGTTTGTTGCTTCCATTACTCAGTAGTGCTCCAGTCTGTGAATGTACCACGAGCTTCTTGTCCATTCACTTGTTGCTGGACTTTTGTGTTGTCGGTCCTGGGCTATTGCAAATAGGCTGCTCTAACATTCTTGCACAAGAATGGTCATGGTGGTTTCATTTCTAGTACATTCAGATTTTCTTTTTTAACAGGAAACGCCTTCTTGTGAAGTCCTAATAGCTTAGTTGAGTCTATTTCTATATCGGATGTTTGAGAATTGGGAGTGATATTTTGGGACAGTAAGGGACCATCTGCCTCGGGACAGGAAGCAGCCCAAATCCACACCCCACCCCCCCGAGAAGGGAAGTGCACCCTCTACAGCCATCACCGTCAGGAAGTTCTCCCATATGTCCAACCTGGATCCGCCAGGTTACGTGTCAGGGTCGCTTTTCCTTTTCTTTGTTCCCTGTGGAAACCGGCTTTTACGCTCTGAATGGGAGAGAAGTCATAAAACTGAGGCATGTGGCCGTAGGCCCGGCAGCCTTCTCTTTTGCCGGCATGCCCCAGCTCTCTTAGCCTTCCAGGAGAGGTGTTTTCCCGGAGCCCCATGTGTGGCCTTTGCCACTCTCCAGGCCACCCTTGGTCCCCAGGCTCCTCCTGGCTCCGTGGCTAGTGTCGGCTGGCCTGCGTGAGTGCTGGCGAGCGGCACATCAAAGGTGATAGGTGGGAAATCCACATTACAAAGCCGGCGAGTTAGAGATGAGTCACCCCACGGCAGGAGCCGTCGATGCAAACCTTGAAGAAGCACACTGCCCAGACTGTCGAGATGTGCTCTGACCTGAGCGTGTCTAATGATAGACGATACCTCCGTTGGGAATGGGAAGACGCCTCTGTGACGGGCTCTCACCATCATCCCGGTCCTCTTCTTGGTCCCAAGAACCAAGTGGTTCTTGGGTCTCATCGCTCTATCAGGGCCCCCTGGGTGGGGTCCCTTTGTGGCTTAATGTGCTGTGTAGCTTCCTCTCGGTTGACCTTTGTTTCACCCCAGGTGTTTGTGTGCTCTGCTCTGATAGAGTCAGACCTTCCCCCTGCCCTTGGTCTCTGCAGCTCGCAGGGCCGCCGGGGCTGCTGAGACCGGTCAGGAGGCGCCCAGTGTGAATTGCCCACAGAGCACCGCTCAGACCACCGGAAGCGTGCGCACGGCCTTACCGGGACCTGTGGCCGCCACTCCCCACTCCTGCTCTCGAAGCTGAGATCCATTCTGGTTGTCTGTGTGTTCTCTCGGCTAGCAGAGTGATTACAACAGCCGCTGACGTCTGCCGTGCACGTACTCTGCCCCACCACGGTGCTTAATGTATGAAATGACATGGATTGTGCCACCCAGTCCCCATCCCGGGTCAGGGAGAGAGTTGTTGTCCTCATCTTCTCAACAAGGGAACCGAGGCTCGGAGAGTCACTTCTTCAAGGCACATGGCTGTGAGTGGCCGAGCCAGGGCTTGGGACTGGGCAGAGGGACCAAACCGCTCTACTCCCCTCCTTGTCCCACGTTCCAGATTCATCTGCACCACAGTAATTGTGCTACGCAGGACAGAGTCCAAAGCCCCCCTGAAATCAAAGCATTTGTCTCCCTTCTCAGCCTCCCGGGCATGTCTTGCTGTGTATGTTCCAGAAAATGAGCTCAGCTTGATGAGACTTGTAGGTGGAGGCAGGCTGATCATTTTGAGATAGTCTGTGGTCTACACTGGCTGAGCTGTTGTTTACTCCCACACATTTTGGACGGAGTGTGAGAGAGAGTGTTTACACTTTTCAAGTTGTCTATTTGGGTTTTCTGATCTTTTACTGTATGACTGTAACAAGAATTTTCTACTCTCTTGGCCTTTTATCTGGATGGTGAGGTCACGGCAGGGAATGAAGTTTGTTTATCAGGAGCCTGCTGTTCATTCCTGCCCTCACCTGAGAGTGTCATGGGTCCCTCAGTGCCCTCCTCGGAGACTCTGGGAGAGTTCAGGGGCTGCTCCTCTGATAGGAAGAGCTGCCAATGTTCTGTCTGTCCAACGGTAGCAAAGAGGGTCCGTGTGCCTCCCCTCTACCCCTACCCAGTTCTCTGGGAGAGACTACCCCCTGCCACAGGGGTCATTTCCCACAAGTTACACACTTCCTCCGAGCACGGTCAGCTGTCCTTTCCAGCCCTACCTATGCTGATGTCATTTCCCACATGCTCGTGTTGGCTATCCCGTTTGGATCTATTCCCTTCTCCATTGTTGGGCTCATAAAGAGAGAGACAGTGTCTTCTATTTCATTCTGTGCTGTGTCCCCAGCACTTAGCACGGTGCGGGTGCTCAGCGCACTTCTGCAAATGAATGAGGGAATGATAGGAAATTCTCCAACCCAAGGCTACTGCCTCCCAGACATGGGACAGCTCAGCAGTCTCCCGTTCCAGGGCCAAGTTCACTGGGCGTTTCCTAGGACTGCAGACAGTCCTGGGAGCCTCTTACTTACCTACCTGGATGGTCCTGGATTGGCAACCCTGGAACATCAAACCATAGCCAACCATGGCTCGCAGCAGAGTGCCCAGGGGAGGAGACGCGGCCTCAGGAAGAGGCCAGTGCGAGTTTTCTCTGCAGTGCACAAGTCACGATCTTGCGGAGAAAGCACCTGCCCAGAATCTAACAGTTAAAACAATGACAGCAATATCTTGCCTTTTTTTTTTTTTACAGGAGTGTGGGCTTAGTCAACAGAAGAAAAAAGGAATGAACATAAAATGTACATTAAGCTATTTACATTCTTTCGATTCCTATTTTGATCGTTATCAGCATCATCTGAATATTTTTATGTAGTTGTGGTTTGCCTCTGTATTCTGCTTTACATTATTTTTATACTTAGAATCGTTGCCTGTGCACATTTCCATGTGCTGACAGTTCACATACTTTTTCTCTTTTTGCTATTCTGAAACATGATCCTTTAACTGTAAGTCTTGGATATCTTTGTAAACAGCAGACATAGAGCTGCTTTGTCATTTTTCACAGTTGGGTAGGTGTCCACTGATAGATGAATAGTGATGTTCAACTAGCCTCCCATTAGTGACATTTGAGTTTCGTAATTTAAAAAAAAAAAAACAAAAACTTCTACAATATTGCAGTGAACACTATTTTTTTTAAGTTTATTTATTTTGAGAGAGAGAGAGAGAGAGAGAGAGAGAGGAGGGAAAGAGAGAATCTCAAGCAAGCTCTGCACTGTTCAGTACAGAGCCCAACTCAGGGCTCAAACTTATGAACTGTGAGATCACGACCTGAGCTGAAACCAAGAGTTAGATGCTTAACCGACAGAGCCACCCAGGTGCCCCAAGAATATGAACACTTTAAATTATCCTCTAAAATCGCTTCCAAAACGGCTGTGCCAATTTACACACTCTCTAGTAATTCATTTATTTTGATTTTTTTTTTTTAAGTTTATTGATCCATTTTGAGAGAGAGAGAGTGGACAAATCCATGTGAGTTGGGAGAGGGGCAGAGAGAGAATTCCAAGCAGGCTCTATGCTGTCAGCACAGAGCCCGACACGGGGCTCCAACCCACAAACTGCGAGATCATGACCTGAGCCAAAGTCGGATTCTTAACCAACCAAGCCACCCGGGTGCCCCTAGGCTTGTCATGTGTAACCTTTGTTAGTTATAGGGCTCACTTTTTCAAGTTCCCTAATATTAGAGTTTTGTACTCTTGGAAGCGTTCAGAGTTAGGTAAAAACAAGTGATATTTATCACAGTCGTTTTCCATAGTATCCCAAGCAGACAAGAAAACCAAGGCACACGCGTTAGCTGCATTGCTCAGAATGACACCATTCACGGCAGAGCTTTGCCACCTGCCCCTGCAGAACACTCTTCTTGGGTGCTTTTCTCTGGAAAAGCTCCTGACCCGGCCCCTCTGGGTCACAGTCACTGGAAGTATACTGGTTGTGGCTGACTACTTTTAGATCTCATAGTGCCCTCCCATAACCTGCTGCGGTGGGGGGTGATGTTGCTGACGGGTCCTGGCAGGGCGGGGCACCAGGATGGCGACCTGGCAGGCTGATGGCAAAAGACCCCGCTGGCTGTATCCTCCCCACGTTCCTCTGGGTTTTCACAGGCCTCTTGGCTGGAGGCTGGGCGGATCTGACACTGAACTGCCTCCTTCGCCAGGGGTTTGAATTGGGTCCCTTGGCTGGGTAACGCCGTCTCCAACTACCGGAGCCATGGGTTTCTAGGAAATGCAAATTAAGAGGCAAAAGAGAAATGCAGGTGGAATTCTAAGAGGAGAAGCACTAGAATGAGCTTCCTGTGCAGTCTTCTGAAGAAAGGGTCTTCGGGGCACGAGAAACTAAGCAGGTGTCAGGAGACTGACATTTCTCTGTCCAGACAGGCACTGGGAAGGTCCCCTACCCAGAAATGATTTTAAAAGAGGGAAGGGCCGAGCTGCTGCAGGGTACAATCTACAGGGTAGGGCAGGTGCCTGGCAAGGCTCCACTTTCTTTTT